CCTCGCTTCCTCAGGGGCCGCAGCAGGCTACGACTGCGCCACTCGCACCCAGCCTGGGCCGCACTGCACGTCAGCACGACTCGCTCGGCGCGTCACCACGTAGACGCATGCACCGCAAGGACCGCTGGGAACCGTAGTACGCCCCGCAGGCTAGTGCGCAGGCGCCCAACCACCACCGGGAAATGTAGTTTCTTAAGGCCCTAGGGGAGGTCAACCTTGAGGCTGTAGAACTGCAAGTCCCGCTGGCCAGTGCGAGGAAGTTCGGGAAGCGGGCTGTGTTTTTTGGCGGTCTTACGTCGGGGTGGGGGAAGAGCACGGGACCTAGCGCCACCTCGGCCCGCCGCCTTCGGCCCTGAGCATTCTGGGAGTTGTAGTTCTGATGCGCCCCAGAACCCGTATGTGACTTTGCCGCCTCCTCGGGCCCCCACCCCACCCCCCACCACATTCACATTGATTTTATTTTTTTGTTCTGGGTCTTTGATGCCTGATACCTGATCCCATCAACAACTCATGATCACACCCCGCCCGCCCACAAGGAACACGGCCGCCATTTTATCTCCTGCTGTTGAGGCGTGATGGCTCCAGCCTAGCGGCGCCGTTGCGCTTTTATAACTTCGGGCTTTCCAGTGCGACCCTTAAGCAGCTCGGCCACTAGCTCTTGCGTCTTTGTGAAGCTGACTCGGAGCTCTGGATTTGAACTCTTGGGGAAACAGTTCTCCCTCAGTTCGGTAGGGCGGCCAGGCAACAAGCGATTCTCACGTACTCCTCAGGGCCGTGTCGGGATGCGAAGCCGTACACTCATAAATGTGACGGAAAGAGCAAAAGCACCCTTCGATTTTCTACCTTCTAGCCGGCTGTCTCCGGGAATGTTTGATAAATGCACTTCTCGAGTCAGACGGGGGCAGGCACGCAGAGCAGAGGCCTCAGAATCAATCCCAGAAAGGCCGCGTTGCAGTTTGCCTGCAGCCGCTGCGGAGAGACATGGAACTTCCTGTACCGCCGGCTATAGCTGGTTACGTGGGGGTGTCTTTAAACCCCGGACCCACCCAGCGTCTGAAACGAAACCTGTTGTCTCCTGCAAAGGCTACCCACGTAGGACGTACCCCGGATGTCACAGGGTATGATCGATCCGCAGGGTTTCCCATCTGAGGTTCTTTTCCCCAGTGGGTTTTCTTGATAGAGGCAGATCGCCAGGCCTTTTCTTGCAATGCACCACCTCCAGGGTTCGAACCTCCAAGCTTGCCGTTCGGATCCAGTAGCAAGCTCCTTACCACCCAGAGACCTGCCACAGCACATCGTAGCCTCTTACCAAACTCTTGTCAATTTGAGTTTCAGGATTGATAGTTTGTAAACATGTTTGTTTTTTTTTAACTTGCCCACAGAACGATAATGTTCCGTTCTGGGATAGGTGCTAGAACAGGAAGATCCTCCCCCTTTGCCTAGGAGCTCGGACTCCCTGTGTGATGTCCAGGGAATGATTCTAATCTTGCCTCGATGTCAGCCACATCTGGACATGGTTTCCACGATCTATAGAGACTTCTTGAGAACTATGACAAGGGCTTTTTTGTGTGTGTCTTTCTGAGCTTGCTAGTATTCCTGAAGGTGGGGGATAAGGTTTCTTTTTTCTAATCCCTCCCCCTCCCCAGTGAGAGACCCTTAAGTACAATCGAATTCCCAATGATAGGCCTTCCTATATTTACTGAATAGTTTGTGCGGGTTTATGTGAATCAGCTCATTTAATGATTCAAGCAATGCTGTTCTTCTAAAACCATACTGAACCAACCATCTTACAAATCCACAGTTCAGTGTTCAAAATCAAGAAAGTAACCTAAGAGCAGTATTCTTACCTAATCTGTAGACTTTTTACAAAAATCATTTTATTGGGGGCTCGTACAATTCTCATCACAATCCATGCATACATCCACTGTGTCAATTACATTTGTATATTTGTTGCCATCATCATTCTCAAAACATTTGCTTTCTACTTGAGCCCTTGATATCAGCTCCTCATTTTCCCCCTTCCTCCCCACTGCCCCCTCCCTCATGAACCCTTCATAATTCACAAATTATTATTATTTTGTCATATCTTACACTGT